CTCCTCCTCCTTGTCTTCCTCCCATCTTCCCTCCCTCCCTCCTCCCTCTTCGCAAGTTCGACTCCGTCCTGTCGTCGCTCTTTGGCATGCGGTTAGCGTTGCGTATCTTGCGGCCGCACTCGCTCACTCTCACTCTCACTCTCTCACTGTCTCACTGTCTCTCTCATCTCTCTCATCTCTCTCATCTCTTTCTCATCTCTCTCATCTCTCTCTCATCTCTCTCTCCTCTCTCTCTCTCTCTCCTCTCTGTCTCTCGTCTTTCCGTCTCTCTTCTCTCTCTCTTCTCTCGCAGGAGGATCCGGGCAAAGAGCCACATATAAAGGACTCTTCACCCCTGCCTCCAAAAAGAGCGCCGTGTTTTTTCCTACCTCGCTGCCCTCCACTTTCCCATTCTGGAGCGCTAGCTTTCGCCCCCCCTTGGCCTCAAGTCTGGTGGATGAACGTCCCCAGTGGTACGCTGCTGTGTTGACTTGTTCCTCTTCCGTGGACACCGGGGGAGCAGCGCCCTAGCAGATCCCGCGCACTGCGCACGAGGTCTCCATCTCCTTGATGAACCTGGTGACCGCGGTTTTGGTGCCTGGGCAAACGAGGTGTTCCCGGGAGGGCGCGGTGTGAGTTCTGCTTCTCAGAGATCGAACCAACTGGACTGACCTTTGCTCACCATCATCATTCCACTGTTACTGGTAGCATTGGATTATAGTGACATGCCATGCCCAACTCCCAACTGCTTTATAGAAGTGCATGATTTCTGTGGATCCCCGCCCCTGTGGCGTGGGAACTTCTACGTAGCTGATCATCGGTGGGTCGGTTCACGAGACCAGCAAGCAGAGGTTGCTAGGGTAGGAAAAGGATGGAAAGGGGGTATACAAGGACACCCTGTGTGGGGGGCTTCCATTGATAGCCCCTTAGAGGTGATTGGGGTGTCCATCAACCACCCTTGTGGGTCCTGGTGCGGGTGGCAGACAATTCCATTCTGAGCTTTTTCTACCTGCTTGAGGTACGGGCTAAGAAGTCATTTGAGAAACCTGTACCCTGCGCAGCTCATCTCATGTTGTCGGTTTTTCCGCTCTGAACCCCCTCTGCGAGCGGAATGGATGGGCCAAGCGGAGCAGCAGCGCGCCTGAGGTGGAGGGTGCCCTCGAGCACGCGCGACAAGAGAAAGAGACGCTGGGAAAGCAATTTGCGAAGCATCACTCGGGCAGTTCATGAAGTTCGGGCAGTCTTTTGAACAGTGGTCTCGATATTCTTCGGCATTGGTTTTCGATGCGAATCACTGGAGTCTTTGGACGCCCGCTGTGTTTTTTTTTTTTTGGCATTTCAATCACATAAGTTCTCAACCCATTCTCTCATACCTGGCAAAGCTCAGCAAGCGACAAAGCACCTCAGGACCTCACCTGGTCCACCTGGTGTCTTGTTGTTTCAACTTGGGCGCGTCGCGTGTGACAAGTGCACATGCAAGGGAAGAGATCCTGATGAGCAACGAGAAGGTCAAACTGATGATTCCACAGCTAAAGCAGCTACTCGGCCTGTGAAATCCGCCGTGTCCGGGGAGCTGACAGCTGCTGGGTCGACGCCGTGGGTCGTTGGAGCCCGACCAGTCAATGCCTGCCATGTCGAAAGACCTGCCAGTAGCTTGACCTGGTCAAAAAGCAAAAGAACTTTTAAGGTGATGTGTTTCCCCTTTGTCCAGGTTCCTTTAGCAAATCCCCCCAAAAAACCTGAGATAGCTTGACTTCAGGTAGTATAGGTCATGCCCAAGGCCTCCCTATAAAGGCGAGGATGGGATGCACGACTTTTCACAGCGATGTAGGTGCGCTCGATAGCTGCGCTACCATCACCAGCGGCGCAACCTGACCCACCCGACCCACCCGTTCGGGCGGACATTGGGGGTGGAATGGCCCGGTAGAAGATGGATGAATAAGTGGGGACATGTGGGGACATGTCGGCACTCGATTTTAGGGGCCATCAGGAAGATTCAGGAAGCCGACCACCCATGCAGAACGATGTTTTCAGGGCTCATGACGCGTGGGAGGTTCTCTCTCTCCCGCCCAGGGAGGTGTCCAGCTCGGTGGGAAGATCCGAAGTCATGTCAGCCCTTCACTTCAGCAGGTAGGACGACAGGACATTCGTATTCGCTCACCGATTCCTATCCCTTCGAGGTTTCGAGGTTTTCCGTGCTGGGAACGGAGCATCCAAGGCTTTTTGAAGACTTGGACAAAGCGGCTTGGCTGAAATAATAAGATAATGATATGCCACAGTATATCGCATTGAGTTTTATATCGTTGCATGGGGCGTCAGGGCGGGCCCCGAGAACGATTAACTGAAGCATATCATCGAAAGATCACACATCAACGCCGCAAGGGCCGCACAAGCATCAAGATATTTGATGGCACATGATGGCGTATTCCAGCTCTGTGCAGACATGTGAACTCAGCCAGGACAACAGCGGGGATTTGCACCAGGCAGAGTTGGGCGCTCAGTTCTAGAATGTGGTTTCAGAGTAGATGGGACAATCCCCCCAAAGTTGGGGAAATGGACCCCTGTATTAAAGACTGACCTCTTGGGGTGCCAGTGCCAGCTACTCTAGAGACCACCGATTTCCGGAACTTGGCCAAGTTCACGTGGCTTCACCTTTCACCACCTTTCAACGCCGCCTGAGGATTGAACAAGCCGAGAGGGAGGGCCGCGTCGTAGTGCCGGAACACATCTTGGACAAAGCCTCCGTGGGAAGTGCCTCGTCGTCGAACGGAGCGCGCGCTCCGCGCGGAAGCAACACACGGATGACATGCGCGCGTTCCGGGGGGGATGTGCCTTGGGAAATGTGTGAGATGGACTGGAAGTAAGATGGTGGCCATTGCTTTGGACAATGACTGACTGGGAGCCGCATTGGTGCTTGGGCATCCATCCTGACCTGTACCTGAATCTGGCATGAGATCGAGAGGTGTCCGATGTCTTTCGGGCTGCGCTTTGCAAGTGTCACACCTTCATTTTCTGAGTTTTCTTCAGGAAACATGCTCACTCTTGAGCCGGAAGACATGCAGGTATATGTAGCGGTAGCAGTAGAGGTAGCGCATTACAAAAAACGTGTCTTTCATTCTGCAAGGTTAACGTCATCACCTCAAGATCGCCCGACCAAAACCCTCTATCATGGCCAGCGCGAGGCCCGACTCAGGAGGAAGCACAGGTTCCCAGACACGACTAATGGGACTGCCATGGGACTGCCATGGGACTGCCGACATTGGGTTTCCTTTGGCACCACCAAAACTGATGGATGGCCCCATTCCGAAGGTGTCCCGGTGCCGACCCTCTCTTTCTCTCGCTTTCCCTCCGAGACCGAGTCTGGAGGGTCTGGAGGGTCGACCGGGTTGCTCCTGAGCATATCACAAGGCATGACTGAGCTGTTCTTGAATTTGGACGTGGACAAGTCGGGCAAGTTGACGTGTGCCTCGGCGAGGTGGAGACAGGAGACAGGAGGCGAGTCGGTGGGTTTAGGGTTTAGGGTGACGTGGTTTCGCTGAGGACTGATAAATTACATGGTGTCAGGTATTAGGTTGCACTGGCACTCCTCATCTAAATTTGTCAATTGTCTATCAGTAGGTTTGTGCCTTCTACCCAACCGACTGTACTAACTGTACGTAGTTTTGTTCGCAAAACTTGCCAAACCAAAACCCAATGCTTCAAAGGTATGTTTTTTAAAGCGTGCGTTGTCGCAAGAGCGTTGTTTTGCGGAAAAGTGTTTTTGTTGTGTGAAATCCACTTCCTCTCGATGGACCCATGATTGTTCATATATGATGTGTGAGGCCAGGTTCCATGCCTCTTCCACGGCAAAAACAACGGGCGTTCTACGCCAAAACATGTCCCTTCTACGGTTTGTCTACGGCTTGTTTACGGTTCTTGAGCTGGGCTGGAGGCAAGGAATAGCAGGCAAGAAAGTAGTCCTTGTTTTGCTAAAAGCGTGCTTTCCGGGATGGCTATTTGGATCATAGTCGATGAATCGATGAAGCCTAGGGCCTAGGGAAAAGTTTGTTTGATGTCTCGGTCCCTGTGATGTTAGGTGCGTGCCAGGACCCTCAAGAAGTAGTAAAGAAACATCCCGTGAGACCGGGCTGCAATCAAAGAATTCAAAGGTGAAAGGACATGAACAGATTGGCGAGCAGTTCATGTCCTGCAAAGCAGTTCATGTCTTCCCCTCTCAAGGCTGGCGGCCCGTCACTGTTAACATATTTCAACCCCTGGGCTTTCACGGATGACCCCTTTTCGTCCTCCACTTCCCCCAGGTGCAGAGTTCATCGAGGGCTGCATGCAGCTGGGCATCGCTGGATTCGGATTGGGCGGAGCGGAGGGCAAGTGGATGGATGGTCAACCAGTGCGGGCCCTCAAGCCCCCACCAGCTTAGCTTCAATGCTGCTAGCTAAGCTGGTGAGGGCTGCTAGCTAAGCTGGTGAGGGCTGCTGGAAATCAACAAACTGCTAGGGTGCGCGGCTTGCGGTTTGTTTTTGAACTCTTCAGGAGGGCATTAATTTAGGTTACTATTTAGGTTTTTCTGAGGGGTTTGGGGTCTGGCATTCTTCGATTCAGTGGCTCAGATCACCCAAGAAACTCAGCAGAAGAACATAGATTGCCAGGGTTAGTTCTGGCAGCCATGTAGAGGCATAGACTGAAAAAGCAAAATAATTAACAGAGCATGCATCACTCCCCCAAAGGGAGCTCCTTCGTTCGTGTTCATGAAAGGGATTGGCGGATGTTGTTCGTTGACTCTCCGAAACGCGAAGATGTCGATTTGCCGATTTGCCCCTAGAATCGTGGTACCAGTTGATGTTCCATCCTGACTCCTGACCCTATAGGACCATATGCTTGTTTGTTGAATCATGTTGAATCCTTGAGCCCCAAATCATATGGACCACACATGTCACATGACCAATACCACCGAGGAACATTTTCTTGCTGGACATCCCTGTCCGTGACATGATGATGATGAAGATGATCCGCTTACTCCGCCACGGTGTTCCTGGGAGACCACAGCGTTCTGGTTGGGTTGTGGTCTGGGAAGTTTTCTTTCGAAGATTGGCAGATGACCTTAACTCCGAAGTGTGGGCCCTGCCCTCCTCGGCAATCGTATACTCTCCGCACCACTCCACGGTTTTTCTATTTTCGATTTAAGATATTTAAGTTAGTGTTGATTTCGCTATATTAGCGGAACATGTTGCAGTAAATTTTGTGGCTTCCTCAGGGTGTCTCACTAACATGACCTCTATAGAAATGAATGACACACTCCAAAACCAGTTCAGTTTTTTGGTATGTTTTTGGTACTGACCGGGAGTGTAATCATGGAACATTGCCCGAACGCTTGCGAACACTTTTGTTGACTCCTGATAGGTTGCCGTACATGGAGTATTTGGCTTACGGAATAGTGTTTTTTGTTTTGTTTTTGTGTGTGTGCTTGAATTGATCCAAAGGAGTCTATATGGGCAAACTTCGGATGAACCGTCGATCAGGACCTTGCTTTATCTTGAGGGTCATTCGGTTGGCCAGGAAAGCGTGACCCACAGCTATCCACAGTCTATAGTATATATATATTATATACTGTATTTATAATTGCAAATAAGTTATATAATTCGGATATATTGGTTACCTAACCTTTCCCTCGCATGAGCGGTTTTTGAACCTGTTCTGGCACTTTGCCACTCCAGGAGGAGCACGCGCACACCTCCAAAAAGTAACATGGGGCTAAGACTATAATAGAGGCACAAGTCACAAGTACGTGTCAATCTGCAAATCTAGTCTCGCGAGTGAATGAACCCTTTTCTCCATCTCTCAGCCAGGGCAGTGCTGGGGTTCCGTTGGAAGGGCCAACGTCCGGGGCATCGGCCTTGGGCACTCTCAAAGGGAGGCGCTGCTGGAGGAAGGTTGCTCCCAAGTTGCCCTCATGGACTGAGGTGATGAAGATCGAAGGTGAGATCAGGGACCTTAAGCGCAGCATGGTACTTGCGAGCAGCGCCAAGTGAGGCGCGCCGATCCTGCGCACCTGGGCTGATCCTGGCCGTCGGTGGTGGGGTAAAAAGCCCTGGTAGCACGGTGCTTGACCTTATCAAACGCACTGTAAGGGCTTGGTGACACCTTACACTGACCTGGGTCCTTTTTTGCTCAAAAGCAGGTGACCAAACACAGGTATAACTATTATGACCCTTGGCTCCGGACTGGAAGGCAGTAAGAATCTTGGAGCTTTGCATCAACCACTTGGACTGGAAGCTTTCCTCACATTAGCAGGGCGATGCTGGGATGGATTAATGCCCTCACATAACCGACATGTGGAACGTAGACCAGAACTAGTTTACAAAAGGTGCGACTTGCTTTGCCTCCAGAATCGTTTTGAGGTATACTACTTGCATTGAGGATTGCAGATAGCCCATAGCATTCATATATCATATCTTCCTCCTTCTTCGGTTTACCGCAGCTTGGCGCTCCGCCAGGGTGTAAAAAAACCTCCGAGAAGATGCTGATCCGCATCACCTGACGAGTCTTTTTGGATTTTTCAGCACAGGACGCACTTCGGACGCCCGCGGGCAGACGGACATCAGCTTTGGTTTTCCTGATGTTTAAGAGAGCAGCTGGGAGAGTGGCAGCTTGCCGCCGGCAGCTGCCTAAAAAGAGCCGTGATATGCCGTGATTCAAACGTCATGCCGCATCATTGCCTCTGTCTGCCTGCCACACACCAGCACCACGCATTGAATGCCTTCGTTTCCGGTCTAGTACTTCCACCGGCGTTTCACGTATTTTCACACCATATTTCAAGTCCGAGCACCGCCGTGTTGCACACACGGCCATCGGCCGCGAGGCTTAGCCTGAGAAGTCTGCTTGACCAAGGTTGGCCTTGCCACGCATACGTGTCCACGTGTCCGCACACGTAACTCTAGTAGGATACCCTTAAGACAGGTTGATGATTTGGTCCGGGGTATGGGGATGGTCCATTCAAACAAACCATTATATACCATGTTGTACCTAAGGTACATGTAACTATACCAGACATGGAGTGTTTTGGAAAGCACCGCGCCTCGGGGAACCTCATCCGAAAGATTGGAACCATTTCTGGGGGAATTGGGGGCACACCACTCAAATCCAACTAGGTGGCAAAGAAATGACTAAAGCTTCACACCCATTTTTCCAGGGGAACCTGATGAGGTCAGCCTTCAATGAGGTCAGCGTGCACCTCCACGTGTCTACACGCATTCTCGCACGCCTTCTCGCTCCCGTGTGGCTGGCCCGTTGCATCACGGTACCATACGGTACCATCGCTCCAGTGGCTCGGTGGACGCGCGGACGCGTCTTTTTCTCGCGATCCTGATGGATCTCAGATCCTGGAGCCGTCAGGAGCTCCGAGATCTCTTGAGTTTGCAGGTGCCAAAGAGTCTGGCAGCCATGGCCATGAGGTAGACCTAGGACTGTTGGTGGTGATAAGCGCCCCTTTGAACAGGCATGCGTGGTGAACTTCTTTGTATATGGCCGCTAGACCCATGAGAAAAGCACCCCTTCAGACGACCCCTGCCTTTGGACCAGTCAAAGGTTGTAAGACGTTGCACGGCATGTGCTGTGCTGCAGATTCTTCACCTATCCCCATTTCTTTGCTCGGCAGGGCGTGGGCTCATGTGAGGTGCACGGTCGCCTGTTTCCAAGCGACTCGCGCCGTTTCTCACCCAGTCGGGTCGCCATACGGACATGTGAAGGAACATGCTATATTGGCTCCCTAAATAGATAGACACGGTTTAGATATTTAATGTTTTTATAAGTGGGATTTTCATCAGTGGAAGTATCTGATTCTATTGGATTAGTATATCGTTTTCGCTCGTTCTATGCTTTATATAGTGGGGATTTAACTGTTCTCTATAATTTGGGGGGTGTGTATGCCATTTTGCAAGAGCACATAGTCTCGGACAGGGCCAAGCACCGCACCGTGTTTCACCGGCCCCGGAAGGGGCAGGAAACGTACCGCACGAGCATGGGGAAACATGACCATGTGGAACCTGTCTGGTCCTTGGTGATTCTTCGTTCTAGAGGGATGGGTGGGCTTGCGGCTTACGGGACTAAAGATGAAGATTTCGAATCGAAATCCATCGTTAAGCCTGGTTAAGCTGATTTGACGTAGATTTCTGGGACGTTGAGGCATCATGCCCGAAGAGCATGACAAACTTTATCTGTTTTTATTCCACCAAATCGGGACACTTGTCACCCAGTCAGCGGACACGAACCTCAGTCAGCGGAACCGCGGAGTTTCACGGCCGATTCTCCGCGTGGAGGCATGTTTTTGCCGGAGACCCAGCAATAGGAGGAGAGATGACCAAGCGATTCTCCGCCAGGGGAGAGAGGTTGGGCCGGTTTTCGACCACCTGCCCTCCAGATCCTCCGGCCCACGCCAGCGCCGAGCCCAGCTGGACCGGAGCACCGGCCACCAGCGCAGCGTCTCGCCGTCCGTTGGCACCAAAAGGCGGCACGCGCAGCTTCGGCGCAGAGAGGTGGGACGGTGGGACTACTTGGCGTTTCAGACACCGCAGTGCAGGTCAAAGACTAATAAACGCAACACTGGCAGCATATCATGCAAGATGTGCAGTAAAAAACACATGGGGTTTGGTCCGTTGGATGGGCCAGACTTAATTGTTTTTATGATGCATATGAAGAACCATTGGCTTCCTCAAAGTGACTCAACGACTCAAGGGACACATTTCTTTTCACCAAAGCGGCATCTCAAAAAGTCAGGCTCATGCGAGGCATGCATCTTCAGTTGAGCAAACATGGGTTTCAACAACAAGTTTTGTTGTTGCTGTTTTTTTGCTCGGTGCATATTGCATGCCCCCTTTGAAATCATGGAGGAAAGTTCCCTTTTGATTGGATTCTTATGCTTGGTGAATGCCTGATTCATGTGCATCAAATGTGAAAAGAACCCAGCTCAAGCATGTGAAGTAGAAAACCTCGTTGGTCATTCTGTGGTGGCAGTATGAGTTGCTGTCCCTAGTTGGTGGCGGAAGAGCCTCGTGCATCCTGGCGAAACGCGGTAGGATCCGACACCCTATTTTGCACCAGGAAAACGGGATGTCGATGTCAAATCACTCAAAGCTTCCTCTGGATGCTTTGTGGTGTGGGGTGCCTGTTGGTCGACCTTCCATTTGCCTGGATCTTCGAGCTTGCAATGATCGTTCGCAACGAAGCAACTTCCCCCATGTAGGAGGGTTAAGTTCTTGGTCCCATGCGTGCCCCATGGAATGTATTTGGACCATTGAGACAAATCTACATTGTGTGGAGGATGCTTGAAGCTTCGGCTTGAACCTTGCCAGTGACCACCAGAAACATGGAGCTTCAATTGCTGTGTCTCACAACTACATGTTGTGAGCGCGTTTGCGAGCAGAATTGGCAGGAATACAGTTTCAATGTGCGGTAGGATTAGGATTTGATCCACTATTATTTCGATAGCCTTTACCAGAGAACCACTGTTACCTGACAGGGTTGAGTTCAAGAGGACTGCTCCACTCCCCGCCGCTGGACCATGGTTTCCGTGGCACACCCATGGCGGAGGTGCCACATCGCTCGCTAAACGGTGCGTTTCGGGGTGATTTGGAGCCGGGGGTATCCATGGGTAGCGACCCTGGGTGTTCCCGGGACGCCCCCTTGCTTGTGGAAGGTAAGGCAGTTGTCACTGCTCCCTATGACTAGTTCCAGTGTTCTTCTTGCATGTTCGCCCATCCGTTTTCCAACCCTTTTTAAAATAGGGTAGGTGAAGGGATCAGCTATAGTAGCCCATTGCATCCCATTTTAAATATCATCATCCACTGATACTGTACTGGTAATGGGGTATGAATGGATATGATATACCCAATGTATTGAGCTTATTGAGTTGAGTTGGCCTTATAGAAGTTCATCACCAGTTTAGCCGCAGCACCTTTGCGGCAGCGAGCGAGAGAGAGAGAGAGAGAGATAGAGAGACCACAGCTGACTAGAGGAAGGCAAGATAGCGTTCCTAAGTGTTTCTAATGTTATGTTCTGGCCATTTCTGGCCAGTGTTTTTTCGACAATGTCAAGGTGGCAACCTGTGTGAACACTTGGTCCTCCCGCACCGTGACCATGTTTCTGTAGCTTAGGACTTAGCATGCTCACAGGTCGCCTCGAGGCACAGTGGGAACACCATGAGAGGATTGCGATCGCCAGTTAAATACCATTCATTGGCCGCCTAATTCAGGTAGATGAGCTTCTCAAAGAGATTGGAGAGCTGGAAAGCGAGGAGGAGGAAGAGCTTCACTCAGAGGCCTGTGTTAACTGATGTTGACCTGAAATCCCCACGGTCCGAATGGGCTTTTCCAAAGAGTTGGCTCGTTGGTTGGACAACCGCCCGCAGCTCATTTCACCTGCTCTTTTTTAGTGGCGGCCCTTCCAAAACATGGGGCCGGAGGCTATGCATATCCAACAAACCATAACAAACTTCATAGTTTCTTCCGTTTTTTCCGCACATGCTCAGTCTTCATACCTGAGCATCGCCCAGTGTCACCGTCACCGCAGGTGGAGCAACGAGGAGCGGGTCAGCGGTTCCGCCGCGAGTGGCCGCGGGGATATGGGGGTGATATGCGGTCGTAGCCAGACATTTTGGTTGAAGAATCAACAAATCCCACCTGGATGGTGAAACATGGTGAAACATGGTGAAACAGACGTGTGTTCTTTCTTCCTGTTTTTAAAGGCGGGGTGGAGTTGCAAGAACGGAGGAATTCCTGGGAAGGTTTTGATTTCTGATGACCTGGGGGTTTGGGGTTGGGACAGCACTTCAACCAACTATCAGTTTTTCAGGACACCTGCTGCCACCTAGAGATTCGTGAAGCGCTTCAGAACCAGTAGTTTGGTTCCTCAAATGCCAGATTGATGCCCCTCAAAGACGAAGCTTGTGGTCACATCGTCGATGCTGTTTAACAGAGTCAGAGGCACGTGCTTGGCTCAGTGGTTTCGGTTTGGGTTGGGCTGGTGGATGCCAAAGCAATTGGCAATGGCACCGCCGTACGATGAAGAAACGAGGGGCCCTCAACCTACCATTTTAAGCAACTAGCATGGTACAATTCGGTAGAGTGGTGTATCTATCAATATCTATCACTATCACCATCAAGGAGTAGAATTTTGATCTTGCGAGCTTCCGAACATATACGGTGGTCATCCAATGTCCTACATTCTACCTACATGAAGTCCTACATGACAGCCACATGGTCATACAATGTCATACAATGTCATACCCCAGACACTCCATGTTTGCCATATATGCCTACATAGACCCCCCAAACCACCAGAAAGCATATATGGCATACATGGAGTGTCTGGGTACCACCTGCAGTCCGCGCTCCGTACGGCGATCGTCTTGGCCCTGCTTCTCCCCAAGGAGGCCCTGAAGTGGAATGGCTGGCGCGGTCTGGGGCGTCTCGCGGGGGAGTGACGCGGGTCACTGGTGGGCCTCCGGAGCGCATGGTTCCCTTTTGGAGGTTCATCTACTAGTCAGCAATGCCCTTGTTCCTAGTAATGCCAAGAGCTACTTACTAGTAGCTTGCTTGCTCCTAGTAACTAGATGCCCTTTGTGACTAGTAGTTTGAACAGAACACGCGTTTGGATCTCGTGGCCGCTGGTCGGCGGGGTCACATGCTTTGAACCGATGCGTTGGCGCCCCCGGGGCGATGCGGAAGGGTTCCAGGCCGAACTTCAGGCCGCGACCGCCCCAACCACATCGAGAACAAAATAACACTACGATATTTCTGGTGTTACATGATTTATGTGAAACATATGATCAGGTATGATATGATACCATATGTTTGAATCATCATCTATGTTGTAAAGGTAGGCCAACTTATAGTAACTGGTTCTGGGAATATTGGTCTATCTTATCTATCTATCTATCTATCTGTCTATCTATCTATCTATCTATCTATCTATCTATCTATCTATCTATCCTCACCATGTCGACACGGCCAGGGCGAGTCGCTCACCGACAGCGAGTCGCTGGGTGCACCCAGAAAGGAGCGGGATGGGAAGGTGCAAAATGGTAAATCACCTAGGGCCTCTTTGACTTCCTATTGCGATATAGGCAGGATGGCATATGGGAGGATAGTTGATTCATCCCTTTCCTTCAACACAAGTCTGGTCATTCGGGTCTGCAATTGCAACTAGGAGCTTGAGATGCTGCTAGCAATTCTGGTACGGGTGTGGACCTAAAGAGCTGATGGCATTTAAGATCATTTCATCTGACCACAGATTTGGTCAACCACTATTCCTGGACAACCATGAGGACACCCCAACCTCGCACGGGCGTCGACATACTGGCTGAACAGTTCATCTTGGACAGGCCACAGAACCGTTTGCCCTGCAGATCGGCTGACAGCACAGGTTTGGACCGACTGCCGGGAGTTTTTGGGGGGATCCCATCAGATTCAAGGACTGTTATAGACTAACCCAGGCACTTCATGCATGGTATTTATGCCTGCATGGAACCGCTGGAACTGCCCTCATGTAGGTATGTTTGCCATACTTGGAATATGAGCGTATGGGCTGGAATTCATGGATTCCAAATGTCTCCTGTTACTGGAAGTCTTCCATTTCCGAAAAGGGAGAGGTTTGCTGCGGAATACCATCCACAAGTCAAAGCCCCAGCAGGCGAGAGCCTTATATAGTTCAGCTGGCTCATGTAGACGCTAGACTCTTGATTGAATTTCAGCTCCGCAGATGGGTTCGCAATCCAAATGGGGGAGGGGGGGTCCATGAATCAAGAGTCTACATTAAACTACATTAAAGGGGCTGCTTGGTGACCCGTCATCACTGCCGAGGTCGGAGCTCGAGGAGAGGGAGATGAGATGATCAAATCAGCTCTCAGAGGGTCGCAGCTCTTTCATCAGCTCTCCAAAGATCTCCAAAGCATAAGAACTGATACCAGCAGTCACAAAGGGGTGCTTATTGGAGGTAGTCGGGGTGTCTATGATCCACTCACTCTGGATGGGACGAGCCACACCACCCCGAGCTCTGCGACTCCTGTTTTTTTTAGGTTTTCCATGGTTTTCGGTGGCCCAGTTCCTGGTGTCCAAGATCCACGAGTAGAGAAGTGCCCAGTTGGTTGGGGTGAGCAAATGTTGCTTTTTTTGGCGGATGGCAGCCAGGCGCTGGGGAGAATCAACGAGACTCTTGGGTCCAAATTGGAGTCATCTTGAGAATCCCAGATCAAGCATTTTTTGCAAGGTCGTTGAGTGAGACCAGGTTCACCACTCCAAAGTAGCACAGAAATATATAGAACGTACTTGTTGGTTGCGGAATGAGATGTCGTGGGCCTGCAACTGAGGTTGGTGAGTTCGGGCGATTTCATGAGCAAAAACAACGGCTCATCTTCTTGAACCAATCTTGAACTATGCAAAGCTGCCCCGAATCCCACGGCGAAATGTGGCTTTCAAGCAGGCGACAACATGGAATACGAACACATCAATTTTGGACTTCCCGAGGTGAAACTGACCAAACTTTGCCCTAGATGCCCCCCAGTATGCCCCCCAAAGAATTTGTAGCTTTATGGTGCCCCGATGGTGCGCAACTCCAAGCTGCACTCCCCTTGTTTTGCTTAAGGTGAATATGTGTCTTTAAATGTGGATTATGGATGAATTCCCTTCTGGGGATGATATGTTTTCTCTCTTCCAGTTCCTGAAAGAAGCAGATCCAAGCCTTCGAAAGTAAGGCTTTATGTTTCTTGCACTGCCAGGAGCCGGCAGCAAAAACTGCCGATTTGAAGGATTTTCGAGCGGAGGTCACTGACCTGAGGGCTGAGGCGGCGAGTGCGAAGGCTAAAGAGGTGGAACGCCGGAGCTTGGAGGCACCTGCTGAAGGAGAGGGATTGCAGAAGTATAGGAAGGTTCAGAGTACATGGCTGATGATGAGTACATGGTTTACCCCCAAAGATCTCTTATTTTAGATGGGGGTCCATATAAACTACCTTTTGGGGATTGTGTCATCTATCTATTCTATAATGACATCATCAAACAAGCATGACAGTGGATGATGCCCCTAAAAGGAAGAGACTGTTATGCTCTGAACAATGGACTTCCGTGATTGGTGGCGGGAGGATAATATGATTTGAGGATTATCGTTCCCGCAGACTGCCACAAGGTGAGGTAGCAATGGATTCTTTCTTGAATCCTGGGTCCTGGCAGAGGACCCAGCTCACTGTCATCGTCATCGCTCCCCATATTGTCAGACGATGAGGCTGGCCAGTGGGATGGGTTGGTCGGCCACAGGTTGCCAGGCCAATGCCTTCCCAGCCTTAGCATTGATTTGCTCCATAGATTTCAGGTCCACATGTTGATGGACGTGACGTGGGTTCAGTTTACGATGCAGGTTCTTTGGTGACTTAGTTGCATGCCTCCCCCCAAGAGCTATGGTGACAGTGCTGCGCGCGACAAAGGAGTTGTTGAACACCGCGTGTCAGAAACAAATGAGGCTACGGCCACCTTTGCCCTCCAACACCTGCATTTTTTTTAATGCTTCTGATTGCACTTATCACGAAAGCTAGCATCAGCTAGCTGGAGTTGCTCTTGCTTTAGCAAGTCAAGGGCTCGCAGCCTCGAGAATCATGAATCACGTGAAAACTTCACGTGTAGGGGGGGGCCCCCCCCCCCTCCCCCCCCCTGAAAAGTAGAGCCTACCTGTACAGGGTTCCACTCCAACAGCTGATATAGTGTGTCCATGCTTGACTGCTTCAAGGCTCAAAGAGCAAGAGGATAAGACTCTGCGCATAAAAGACACTAGCGGTCTGCACCTCTACCGTGTACGCCCTAGTCACTCTTTCAGTGGTAGCGGAGCAGTGATCCTGGAAGACCCAGGTGAGCTCCTTTCCTAGGCATAGAATTGCTTGTGGGCAAACGGCCATGGATTGGATTGACGACTGGGAAGAGCCTGATGCGGATGTGGCTTATGAGCCAGCAGCCTACGTGAATAGGCATGTGAGAAGAGAACCAGCAGCAATAGCAATGACAACACAGGTCACTACAAAGGTGCCCCCATCTTATGATGGAAAGACTTCATGGTTTTCCTATGAGGATGCCATAGACGATTGGTGTGATATCACCGAGCTGGAAGATGAGAAGAGAGGACCAGCTTTGAGAAACAGATTAGAAGGAGAAGCAGCAGTATACAAACGTGTATTAGACAGAGATTCATTGAAGGCTAATGAGCCGCCAGGAGCAGGAGTAGATTACTTCAAACGAGTACTACGACCATATTTCGTGAAAGGATCAACCAATGTATTCCTATACAGGTTTATGCAATTCGTGCGATTCAATCGAGGATCAGCTGACATGATGAAATGGATGACAAGATTCCAGATTTTACTCCAAAGGCTTATGAGCAGTTGGATGGACATGTTAGAACCAGTCACTCAAGCACATCCCCAAGTCCTTGCTCAGATGCAGGCAGATGCAGCGTTGACTGGAGTAGCACCAACGGCAGAAAGGATTCAGGAAATCATGCAGAATGTCAATGGCAATATGAGAATTCTTCATCAGAATGATTTTCCTTTAGGAGAGAATCTCATTGCCCTACTCATGCTGTCACTTGCAGATTTGTCTCAGGACCAGCGAAACACTTTGACTTCATTGATGACTCATCGTGGCAGGGTCCTGCAGCAATACACCACAACAGAGTTGAGAACAGTGTTCATCGAGATGTTCTGCACGACAAAGACTTCAGTAGACAATCCTTTGATGCAGCCGACAGGTGCTGGAGGTAGAAGATCATTTCTCGTACTAGACGAAGGAGAACTCGATGGTACATTTGGCTATTGGGCCGAAGATGAAGAAGATGGAACTGAAGGATTTTTAGATGCCCTGGACGATGTCTTTTGGGTATATGATGATCAAAACTTCTCATGGTTCCAAAGGAGATTCCAAGGAAGAAGAGCCAGAAAAGGCAAAGGAAAAGGAAGAAGAAAAGGAAAAGGTAAAGGAAGATCAGGCCGCAGATTCTTCAGACCTCGTGGAAAAGGAAAAGGAAAGAGACGAGGTAAGGGCCATTTTGCTGATGAGCAACAGACAACATATCCAGAAGAGTACTTTGAAGAGAATCCTTATGAGGATACTTGGGAGTCAAACCAAGTAGCATATGATGCCATTCTTGCCGAGGATATGAATGACTATCTTCAAGGAGAATATGATGATGCCAATGACTTTTGGCAACAGCTTGAAGAAGCATGGTTTTCCCACAAGGGAAAAGGAAAAGGCAAGAGAAAAGGCAAGAAAGGAAAAGGAAAAGATAAAGGAGATGGCAAACAAGATGCAAACTATGCAAATCAACAACAGCCACGTTCTTTACCTGCACCTTCAAGATCTTCACAAGCATCAGGAGGTCAACAAGGTTTCTTTGCACATTGTGTGACAGCAGCAGCTGAAGTCCATGACAGTGAGGTGGACTTGCTGTCAGGCATGATGACCTCATGCCAAGATAAAGCTGACTGCGTGGTCAACAATGATGAGACGATCTTCGATGACATGAGTGCCCCTGTGAGGTACTCGTTGTCAAAGGAGATGCTCACAAAGGCTCCTGATGGCTTTGCGCTTATGAGCGCTGATGGCTTTGCGCTTATGAGCGCTGAGGAAGAAGTGAAGGAGATGCAGGCTATTTCATTTTTGACTGAGAATCGCTTCCCGCCGACTATTGCAATCCTGGACATTGGATGCACTAGAGCTATGGGATCGAGGCGAGCAGTCGACCATTTTTGCAACTATGTCGACAATCACCCAGATTGTGGATTATGGTACTCTTTTGAGTCTACCAAGAGCAAGTTTTACTTTGCCAATTCCCAGAAGGCTACTTGCTCTCAGAAACTGGTGATTTACATGTATGATCGTGCATGGACGATCCACCATACAGAGTTCGACATAGTGGAAGAAGGAGAAGTCCCTTTGCTTATGAGCTTGCCACAGATGAGGAACTTAGGCTTTGAACTCAGGCTGACACCTCAACATGCTTATCTGACATCGGTGCCTCTTGGTATCAAATTTTTGGAGTTGAAGGTTGCAGCCAGTACTCATCTTGTGTTGGACTTCCAAGATATTGCATGGTATCTGTCTGACGTGCGTTGGCAGACTCAGCGTGAGAAGAGTTTTTACTCTCACCTCACTCACTATGAATATGGCCATATTTCTGTTGAACACAATAGTGATGAAGGTGAAGCTGAGCATGCATATCCTGTGGTTGATTTCTGGGAAGTAGATGTTCACAAGAGAGAACTGATACGTCACCACAAGGATTACAGGAAAATTCTTTTCCCAGCAACTAAGTCCTGTCCTGTAGACACTGACTTGCTGGAAGACTTGCGACTGACAATCATCAAGAAGAAAGCAGGAGGAGAAGAAATTAAGAAGACAGATGATTGGCGCAAGGAAAATGGAAGGACCTACAACTTGGCTATGAATGGCGTGGTAGAACAATTTTTAAATTTAAGCCAGATGCCAAAATTCCAGATCTAAAGATCAGGAAGGCTGGCATTGAGCACCGTGGCATTGGTGATCCCGATGCAGTGGTGCGCTCCTCCTCAGAGAAGGTTCCCATTGCAAAGGACAGGGAACCAGGCTTCTCGTCAGAGAAGGAAGGTGCACCATCCAGTGCCGCGGAAAAGCCCGTGCCGCCAAAGTTCCGGTATACTTCCAAAGGTTTTGATCCATTTTGGAAAGGACACAAGTCAAAACCATCTGAGCCTCAGAATGATTTAAAGGGTGATGATCTTGAGGAGTATGCTCCTTCAGAACCACCTGAGAGGCCAGAAGGTGAACTTGTAGAAATTCCTAAAGCATCAAAAGGACCATCAAGTGATAAACATGAACCACTTGAACCAGGTGATGGCGCTCTTGAGCCTAGGCGGATTTCAATCCCATTACCTGGTAGTGAAGTTGTTGCAATGACACCGGCATATAGGAAGATGTTACAGAGACTGGAGGACAAGGTAGAGCTTTATAAGCTTCATGTGAAGCACTACCATATGAGTCCTACTCAGTTTCGTAGACGTGTTTCTATGTTGAAGCTTCCTGACTCTGTTTTAGAGAAGTATGAATCAGTTGTCAGGAACTGCCGTGTTTGTAACACTTCAGTGGCACCTCCGCCACGAGCCAGAGTCTCCGGTATAAGAGCTTCATGTTTTGGTGATGTTGTTTTTGCTGATCATTGTGAGGTTGAACTTCACAAGAACAAGTATATCATTCTACTTGTTCTTGATGGTGCCACAAATCTTCTCTGGGCTACGGCACAGAAAGACCTCATAGATCAAACCACCATCCAAGCATTGAGGCAGTGGTCTGATGAGAACAATTGTGTTCCGAAGGCCATCGTAGGAGACGAAGCCTTTTTCACAGGTGCTTTTGTTGAATACTACAGGTTCCATGGTATACAACAATGTCCTTGTGGGCCAAGAACTCCTTGGCCGAACCGAGCAGAGACAGCTGTACGTTTGTTCAAACGTATGTGGCATGTTATGAAGGTAGATCTGGATGACCCACGTTTTCGTGGTGTTACGGTCAGAGAAGTGGTCAAGAAGGTAGTTTGGGCAAGAAATTGTCAGTTGACTATCAGTGGATATTCACCAATAGAGATAGCAACTGGAAGACGTCCACCAGATCTTTTTGACCTTGAGACTGCAAGCCCTGAGCAATTGTCAGCTAATGCTGCCGCACAAGATCGTACAAATTTGGAACTACAACGTGTGGCTTTGAGAGCTCATCAAGAAGCACGACAAGCTCAGGACCTTCGAGCAGATCTTGCGAGAAGGACTATGCCAAGTGACGGTCCTTATTTCCAAGGAGAGAAGGTTTTTGTTTGGACTCAGGATTCATCAAAGTTCAAGGATAAAGGACGTTGGGTTCGTGCCACAGTACTTGGACAAGAAGGAGCTATGGTCCAAGCCAACACTGGTAAGGCAGTAGTACGTGTGAATCAGTCGAAGGTTAGACGTGATCACGATGAGTGGCATGATGTCTCCATTCCGGCATTAGACGATGAGAATCCGGAGAACTTGCGTGAAGACCACGAACTGTATGTTGATGCCGAATTCGGAGAACAGTCCTTTTTCTTCTGTAATGATGATCATCCTGATGTTGTTGAGTTACTTCATGGAAACAGTGGATTATCTTGGTTCCTTTCAAAGAATGGTGTTAAAGTTGCATCTCCTATGGATTTCAAGGCAGGATACAACTTTTCCACTATGAAGGGTCAAGATG